AATAAAGTTTACACTTAAAATTATTTGTATTCATCTAAGCTCTACACTAACACTAAACGCGAATGTTAACCATTCCAGTTTAACAGTCTCACGGGCCAAAAAACTGAAAAACAGCAGGTAATACAGTTATGGTTTGTGTCTTCTTCCTCCACCATCGTAACAGCACGCAGTGGATCATGGGATTGTATTCATTTGGCAAGGATGTAGCCCATGCATGCTTGATATTTGGGGTGGAGCAAGACCAACATCAAGGGATTTTTACCTTCCTCTGTACTCCTGTTCTTAGTGTCGGAACTGGTCTTCGGTAGTGGAAGATGGTGTAAAACGGGTACGAGAACACAATTATTGTTTATATTGCATATTGAGATTCAGCCACGGTTTCTGTGTGAGTGAAAACATTTATGTGTGTAAACAATTCAGCTGTGTGGAAATGATGCTTCTGTGCACCACTCGGGTATCTCCATGGGCCCCCAGTTGGCTGCAAACACTCACTACAGTGACGAAACTTTTTGAGTGGGAACCCAGGTACGACAAACCTGCCTTGGTTTGTGTCACATGACAGGTCACATGATGGGTGGCAGAGCAGACGGGCCTGCAGACACGCCTCTCGCACCAGGCTGTCAGATGTCAGACCTCAGCCGGGGAGAGCTAACCAACACCCTGCTCAGAGCGCAGCTCCGAGGAATCCGCACTGTAGCCTTCTAGGTCTAAATGTCATTAATCAGCTTGGAAAGTTTCCCCCTTTGCTATAGTAAAGGCCTTGTCCCGTCTTTCTACACATTTAATTGCACATATATCTTGTTCATTTCCTTTTTATTTATATTCTTTTTCAGGATGCTCTGGTTGAGTATTGTGGGCATCTTCACATTTGTTTGCACTGCATCTTCACATTTGTTTGCAATGCATCTTTGCACTTTGTTTTGCACTGTGTGTTTATTTGTCCGCACTTCATGTTCCTCGCCACCATATGCAGCAGAATTTCCTGCTGGGATCAACAAGTTCATCTTACTTTATCATGCAAGGATATCATTTGGCTGCCTGTCCGGGCACCTTTCGCGCTACCGTCGGGCTGAAACAGCGTGCTGACGGGTGCCGACGCAGGGAGGTTGTCCAACGACACGGATTACATTTGAGTACCTTTGGAGCTCAGCTCCTTGAATAAAGAAGAACATGGGCTAAGCCTCAAAGTCACCCCTCAGATCCAAAGAGCCAGAGAAATAGTGAAAGGAAACGCTACGGGCATTTTTCATATTTTAAAAAGCTCGTTTGCCTTTCCCAACCTGGGACTCAGAGCTGGGGGGGGGGGCAGGCCTGGCTCCCTTCAAGACAAGGTAATTGCAATCGGCAGCCTTTTCTCTTATTGAGGAAATGGGCTTTTCCTACCCCAAGGAAATTCCTGGACTTCTGGCACAAATGGCAAAGCTCCTCCAAAAGCTTCAATAAGACTGCAAGAAAAACAGTGGCTAAGTTTAAAAGAAAGAGAGCATCTCCTCCCTTCAGATAAGACCTTTCAATGACCATAAATCAGGCCTATATTGGCCCTCGCTGTCTGTACAGCCTAAAGGCAGGCCTGCTTACATGTTCAGCGAGGCGGTCTTACTAAGTGGGAGTCCAGCTGATCACAGGCAGGAGCAGGAGTGAGTCGCTTTGGGGTCTCCCATCCTCGCTAGTGTAGTGACTGCTTGTGGCCAACAGGGGGCCCCCTGCAAATGCATAGTTTGAGAGGTCCAAGATGACGATCTCTTACTGGGTCGACCATTAGAGGCCAGGTTCTGTGTCACCCAAGCTGAGCTCCTCACCTGACCCACACATGGGAAACGTACTTTTTCATAAAAAGACAAAAATGGAGGAGGGGTGGGGGGGTTAATATAATCCAGCTCTTCCAGTCCTCAGATCTTTTCATCCTCAGCAGGGTCTGCCAGAGTTTAGGGGGGTCCCTGCCAAACACAACAGGAGCCAGCGTGGGGAACAGTGTAGCCCTCATACCTGAGAGAGGGCGGGAGGGGGTGGGGCCAAGAGGTCAGAGGTCACCACTTCCTGTCCATCATCATACTGGAGCAATTAACATAAGGGAGGAAAATTCCAACATAATTACAAAGATAAATGTTAATTTTTTTAGTTTGGGGTCGTCACACAGATTCCACACTCAACTCCTGACTTTGGTACTTCCATAAGGGAGCAGTTTTTGTGTATCTTATACATATATGTCCAGATTAACCTTGTGACCCTGACTAGGATAAATGGATGGATGGATGGATGGATGGATTTCAACTGCAAAGAGAGCAGGTATCACAAACCAGCTCAGGACCATCACTGTGCCCCTACACCTCCTCCCCCCAATTTTGGCCCGGGGTCTCCCAGAGCGCTCCAAACGCGTTTGCCGTGTTTGCCGGCAGTAGGAGTGGGAGGAGCGGACTTCACATGGGTGCCACGCTGCAGTAACACCTCAACATGCCGCTCCACCGATCCTGCCTGCATGCGGGGTGCCAGCTGTTCTGCAGCATGTTAGCACTGTAGCACTGCTTCAGAGCCACTGATAAAACCATGACTATCCTACACGGCACTCAGCCGACCGATTAAATCTAAACACTGACCGACTTCCTGGTATCGGCTGGCTGGGGGCGTCGACACGCTTCACGAACCCAGTTAACACCACATGGAGGACCGGACCCCCGCCCAGAACCGTGACCCTGGATCAGAAGCACGGGGCAGCGATGAGAGACGGGCCTGCGGGAGATGAAGGCCAGAGGGCGGGCTGCTGGTTAGCACGATCTGGGGGGGGGGGGGGGGGGGGTT